TAACCTTATTACTACCTTATACTAAAATACGTTTGGATATTTAGAATACTAACAAATTCCCACTTCCGGTCCGGTTAGACTTGAAATACAAGCGAATATTCACTCTTGAGATTTTTGGTATGTGTTGGTTCTTGGATATTTCAGCTTCGTCGTCCTGTACTTTATTTAGTAATTCAAACTTCCCAGATTGTGTAAAAATGGAGAGTTTCTCGATTTCGATATCGAAACCACCTTGGCTTAATTATTTGCTCGAGGACGACCGCTTAGGTACGTGCTCTGTAACTTGCAGCGCATGAACCTAAAACTTTAGGTAACCAAATTCATAGGAATTTGACAATTCCTAATATTGCTAAATTGCCAGTTGTGAACTTTATCAGGATTCTCGTATGAAGTTACACATCATTCTAGCAAGGAAAAATATTGATTACTTTTGTGCAGGTTATATAATATCTTTATTTATTAAAATATGTACACATTATATCTAATTGGGGTGGGTATTGCCAAGCAAGTCTATAAAATTATGAACAAATATTTTCATAAACATCACTGACCGCGAAATACGCCTTTGAAGTATTTCAATTTGAATTAGTTGTATTGCAATGCATTAGTAATAATGTAAATATATATGTACATTCCTTTATTTCATTGTTGAGACTGAGTTATACAGTTTGTTACGTACTACAATTTATCTATATTTGAAAACAGTTATGGGGATTATTTTTTACTCATGTTATTGTAATAATAATTTGTAATATATTTGTACTCTATTTGACCTTTAACTTCTCCACCTGTTGTACTCAAATAATCAAATAGTACAAGAAGCTAAATTCTGGTTTTTGTCAGTTTACTTTCGGACTGGCGACCATTTTGTTTTAATCAATGCAATTCTAGTGCCGTATCATGACATGCTTTGATTGAACATGTTAAAATTTTAAATATTCATTATACATCATCTCATAGATATACAGATATATAAATGTTTGGCGATCTGATTCAAAATGGCCGAATAGTGGCTATTTTTGTGATACAAAATCATTAAATATCAAGCATTTCTGGCATTCCGGAACCGAATCTTGGTCGTTTTAATAGATAGATTTCATTCAAACTTGGTACATACATTAGACATTATATGTCCCTGATGCATGTCATTTTGTTTTTCAGATCAGATTTAAAATAGATGACTGGTGGTCATTTTGAGTCCCCGTTCGGATGCAGCCCGAAAACGGGTACTTTTGTTTTGACCTCCGTGTATGTGTGCGTGCGTGCCTGCCTGCTTCCGGACCTGTATCTTAAAAATACCTGGACCAATCACAATCAAACTTCACACATACATCATACATGATATTATACATATGCAGGTCAATTTGTTGCACGATCTTATTCAAGATGGCCAAATGGCGGCCATATCTGTGCTAAAAAATCAACAAAATCAAGCATTTCTCGGCTATTTACAGATGGATTTTGTTCAAACTAGGTATACACGTTAGACATTATAGGACCTTGATGCACATCATTTTGTTTTTCAGATAAGATTCAAAATGGCCGACTGGCGGCAATTTAATGAATGTGGTTCTAGTACCATATCTCTGACTTGCTTTTACTGATTATGTTCAAATTTATATATTCATTATGCATCATGTCATAGATATACAGATGTATTTGTTTTACAACCAGAACAATATCTCTCATTATGGACAAGTACTCATACTTTATTACTATAAACAATACTATATAACTTTTTTTAGCTCCGCTGTCGACTTTGTCGAGCGGAGCTTATCATATGAGTGATTGTCCGTCGTCGTCCGTGTCAATGTTTTACTTTTTCGACTTCTTCTTGAAAACTACAAGCCTGAATGCTTTGATACTTGGGTGTATATGTACCTTGGGTAGACCTCTCTCAGATTTGTT